GCCGCGGCGGCCGGCGAGTTTGCCTTCGCCTACCTGGCCTGGCTCATCTACTCCATCGCCTTCACGCCCAAGGTGGTGCTTATCCTGGGCACGTCCATCCTGGACCTCATCGAGCTGCGCGCGCCCTTCGGCACCACGGGCTTCCGCCTCACCATGGCGCTGTCGGTGCCCCTGCTCTACAGCTTGGTGCGGGCCATCAGCGAGGCGGGCGCCCCCTCGGGCTCCGGGGGACTCCTGCTCCTGCAGCCCCAGCAGCACCGCGCCGCCGGCTGCTTCCTGGGCACGTGCCTTGACCTGCTCGACAGCTTCACCCTGGTGGAGCTGATGCTGGAGGACCGGGTGCCGCTGCCCGCGCACCTGCGCTACCTGCTCATCGCCGTCTACTTCCTCACCCTCGCCTCGCCGGTGCTCTGGCTCTACGAGCTCAACGCCGCAGCCGCCGCGGCCTCGTCCTGGGGCCAGGCCTCAGGGCCTGGCAGCTGCAGCCGCCTTCTGCGCCTGCTGGGCGGCTGCCTGGTGGACGTGCCCTTGCTGGCGCTGCGGTGCCTCCTGGTGGTGAGCTACCAGCAGCCCCTCTCCATCTTCATGCTCAAGAACCTCTTCTTCCTCGGCTGCCGCGGCCTGGAGGCCCTGGAGAGCTGCTGGGACCGGGGCAGTCGGGCCTCCCCCAGTCGGGCCAGAGGGGGCTACAGTGCTCCGCCCTCCGCCCCACCGCCACCTCCACCGCTGCCACCTCAGGGAGGCTCCCAGCTGGGCCACTGCATCGCGGAGAACGAGGGAGGGGCCCATGGCTATGTCAACACTCTGGCTGTGGCCTCCCAGAATTGAGGGGATGAAAGGCAGGTGCTTGCTGTCGGGGTGAGAGACCCTAGCTCCCTTGTTCTCTGACTTCTCAGCCAGATCTGATCAGGCTCTGTTTGGAAGAGGTAATGTTAATCGGGCTAAGGGCCAGTGTGTGCTCTGCACCCCTGGTGCAGGCTGTGTGGAGAGAGACCAGCAGTTAATGGTGAGGGACGATGGTCCACTTGCCCTACTTCCCCTTCTGCATATCCTAACCTCCACGCGGCTGGATCCCTCCGCGTCTTGCTTTTCCCACCTCCACCCTAATTCCCATTCAGTGTGGGGAAAAATGGAGGAAAGCGGTGCTCCAGCAGGTGGTGCTGGGCCTTGGGCCTTTCCTCTCTCTTGGAGGTGCCAGCCTCTTTTAGGCTGTGGTTATTGGCCATTGTCCCATGCCTTGAAATCGACTCAGAATCCACCCTTCCCCGATGTGTCTGTTGGATTCTTCCAGATGGTAGTGCAAAGCTTGTGTCTTTGTGTGTGTGTAGTGTTGTTTTCTTGTGTCCACCCTGTGGCCCCTTACAATTGGTGGGAGATCTGGGGAGGCCTTGCCCTCCTCACCACCCCTCTTTCCTGCCTGAAGTTGTGACCACTAATTCCCAGGAAGAGCTGGGCCCCTGGGAGCTGCCTGCCCAGTTGCTCTTCTCCTCCAAGGGAGAAGCTCACCTGGGATCTCCTTTAATCCTGCTCCTCTCTTCTCAGCTCGGGGGGAGAGGGGGTCCATACTCAAAGGACCAAACTGCACCCTTTCTTGGGTGAGTGAGCATTTCTACCTCCGTGCTTTCAATATTGTTGCATCATGCACTGATGCTGCCTGCAAAAAATACGGAATACTCAGAAGTTACTTTCAACATGGCTACCAGATCTAGCTGGGGTTTGGTGCCAGTGTTATTACAGGGTCTGTGGAGCACCAGCCATTGGCTGGCCCCCTCTGCTCCTCCCTCTGCACGCTCGTCCTTTCCGTGGTTTGTGCCGGCTGGGTCAGATCTTGGCTCAAAGCAATAGCTTTGGTGGGGTTCCTGGATGGATGTGAAGTTGGGCCTCCCCTGGGCCTGGGGAGTGGGAAACCCAGTTGCCCATTCGTGCTTCCTCTAGGAGTCTTGGTGTAGATCAGACCTTTCTCCTCTGCTCTGGTTAAAGGTCTTACTGGGGACATGGCAGACCACGGAGCCCTTCCCCCATAGTGTTCCTCTTGTTGAGGGTGATGACAGAAGACATCCAGGGGTGGCCCACTTGTAGTCCTAATGTGGGACATCACTCTTGGAATCGTTGAGACAGGGTAAATACTTTCAGGGAGGTCAGGGTGCAGGAGGACAGCAGGGGGCAAGGCAGGAAATACTCACTTTCCTCCACCCTCAATAGGAGGGGTGGGGGAAAAACTTTGAGAATTTTTGTTTCGCCTTGTCCCTGCTTATGCTTGCAAAGTTTTTTTTTTTTTTTTTTTTTTTTTTTTTTTTTTTTTAGAATTGAATTGAATTAGAGGATACCCAGCTGGTGTCCACCAGAGAATCGTCTGCAGAATTGCTTGGTGTGTGGGGAAAAAATCCTAACACATCTGGTGTCAGGGTATCGTACTGAGTGACTGTGTGAGAGTACAGAGTAGAAAAAAATCACTTTGTTTTTGCTACAACCTTACTGATTTCCTTGTATTGGCTTCATTTTCAATCAGGCCCTCTCCACGCAGCACAGAGGATCCTGGCCTATGTTTTCTTTTTTTTTTGTCTTTTGTCTTTTTTCCGTGTCCGGCAACGGATCGCAACCCTCAGTGTTGCCCCCGTACCGGACCGGGGACCGGCAACGGGATCGCAAGCCTCGGCGCTGCTCCCGCGCCTCGCTCAGCCAGTGAGCGGGAGCCGGTCTGTATGTGGGATCCGAACCCTCGGACGGGAGCGCCGCCGCGCTTCCCAAGCGGCGCACTATCCAGTGCGCCACCGGGCCGGCCCAATGCTTGCAAAGTTTTATGTGGTGTAACAAACCCTGGACAAGGGAGCAGAAGACATGGATTCTAGTTCTGACTCTGTCACTCACTAGCTTTGGGTGGCATAGCATTTTTACTTTCTGGGCCTCAGTTTTCTCACATTTAAAAATTAGAAGTTAGATAAGTAATCTCTAACTTACCTTCCAACTCTAGCGTCTTTGAGTTTATGGCTCTTGAAAGCCGTGGTCATAAGGCTCTCTGTAAAGGTGGGTCAGCTGGGATACACTTGGAGAACATTCCGTGCTTCTGCACTGAGCGTGTCTGAAGCCTCAGGCTGGGGGAGGAGAGGGTGCTGTGGGCACTTGGGCTGGGGTGGGATTGCAGGGCCTGTTACAGCTGCACTGTCTCTGGCCTTCCCTAGAGACCCCAGCACAGGGAGGGGCCAAAAGTGCCAAGTCACTGACCACTTAGCACCCAGGACAAGGCCCCTCCCTTTTTTGGTCCTGTTGGGATTGAAAACAAAGGGCTGCTTGGGGCCCCTCTCTCCCAGCTGCTGGGGGGCTCATGGACAGAAGCCATCCATGAAGACAGAGCCTTAAGAGGGGCCAATGGCCTGACTAGGGTTCTCTTGAGCCTGCCCTGCTCTCAGAGTGGGGAATGGGGGAGGAATGTTTACACTCAGTGCACTGTCTGGGCTCCCTGTCCCCCACCCTGTCCCTCAGTTCAGTACTGGCTGGCTGCATTTCACAGCAAATCAGTTTTTTCTGCCTTCTCTCCCTACTGACTCCTCTCCTCTCCCTTTGACTGTACTCAAGGTTCCGGGGCTCAGGCCCTGGATGGTACCAATAGCTGCTCCCTGTGCCGCCACATCCTCTCTCCAGCTTTGCTGTTTCTCTGCTACCCAATCTCAGTGACTGTGATAGGACGTCGTCGTGTCTGAGCCGTGGCCGGTCCCTGGCCGGCCCCTGACTTACCTACCCCCTTCCTACTGTTGAGATGGCCATCTGCCTGCAGAGTGTCCCTGACTGTAAAATTTCTGAGTGCTGTTGGGTTGTTTTTGCTTTTTCAATTTTTTGGTGGCTGGCCAGTGTGGAGAACCATACTGGGTCTTTTGGTGGGAGGCTGCCATACGTTCCGACGAGCTGTCACTTCCCTGGGTACGTCAAGAAACTGATGGCAACTGGGCCAAGTCTGGCAGAGGACAGGCCTGTTCAGGCCCCATCTGATGGCCCAACTCACCCCTGAGCATCCTCCTTTACACATTTGTTGCAAGCATGTGGTGCACAGAGGGTTGGCCCGCCCTTCTGGTATGTTTTCCTTCAGTCCTTTCCTCACCTCCCTTGCCCCATTCATAAGAAATGACCCTTACAGCTTCCTTTTCCTTGCTTTCTAGGGCATCTGTAGTGTAGGGGGGCCCCTGACATGTGCCCCATGGCTGTGGTAACCAAGATGGCACGCTGCCTCCTGAGGCCATGCCAGATAAGAGTCCTGGGTTCAGAATCTAGATCTGCCTGCTCTTCACATTTCAGCAAGGAAGGGGCTTCCTCTATCTGAGCCCCCAGATCCTTATTTGTTTTTAAAAGACCCAATCCTTTCTGAAGACCATATGCTTTAGTGTGTCCTGGTTCTGAGTCCATGGGCTTGGAGGAGAGCAAGCTGGCAGGTACGACCCAGAGGAGGAGGGCGGTGGCACCTCACTAGCAGTCATCACGGGTTTTTTTCCTTCTCTTTTTAAAAATAAAACCAGACTCTGTTCAGAAAATAAAAAAAACTTGAGACTTGTGACAAGCTTCCTGTGTGGTTTAAGATCTTTCCTGTCCTGGTTTCCTTGCTAAATTCTTAAATGTCACTGTGACATTTGTCATCGTTTTATAGGTTCGTGTCAACAGTGTGGGTACACCTTGGCTACTTCCTTCCAGGCAGTTGGCATGCTCTTCAGGGAGGCTGTGGGCCACGGCTGGAGCGGGTGGGTGTCTGGCCAGGTTTCCTGCAGGCGTAGCTAGCTCAGGTGGACACAGCCTGAGTGTGATTTCCCAGCGCCCCTGGGCTTGCACTCCCGTCTCTTTCGAAGAATAGCTTACCAAAGGGAGAGAGGCTTGAGACACTAATTTTGAAATACTCTGCTAACTATTTTACTCTTGCCTTAGCCAGAAGCATGAATTCTTATGTATGAATGACAAGGCCATGGTTTTTTTTTTTGGTTTTTTTTTTTGTAACATGAAGGAGACTATTAAATCTAAGGCAGATGTTGGATCTGCACCAAAACAAAACCATAGTATTTTTTTAGCGCAGAGGCAGCTGGTACTGCTAAACTGCTCCATGTTGTCACCCTACAGGTGGATCTTCTGGCTAATCCAAAGCTATGCAGCGGTTTGACCCAGTCAGGCAAGGGAGGCAAACGCAGAGTGGGAGAGCCCAGCCAGGCTGCCTCTTACTGGCCATGTGGCTTTAGGCAGTCACCTGGCCTCCTGGAACCTTTTCATCACTTATACCTCATGGGGCCGTGGAGAGAATTAAATGAGGTGATATTTGATGCAAAAATGGTCCTTTTCCTCAAGATATTTTTAATCACAATAGGGGAGAGAGTTTACACACAATAATTACAGAACAACATAAGACCATGTCTTTATTTTCTTCCTAAGTTTGATGTAAAATAAGATGATTAATTTGAGCAAGCATGTTATAAATATTTATAAATGTCATAGGTAGGCAAGCCGTCACTCCCCAACTGGCCACCTGGGGCACATCAGAAGGCACTTTGTAAAAGGCAGGCTAGCGGCTGAGGAGTGATCCGGTCACGCAGGGGTGTGCTGAGACCACACTGGGACCTGCCTCGGGGGTCTGACCCTGTGGTTCCGGCCCTAAGAAGAGCACGAAGATGCTCCATGTGGCTGGTGGTGGCAGGTGCTCGAAAGCATCAGCTTGTTCCCTTTTCACAGCCACCTCCAGTAGCTTCTTCGTTGTCCAGAGGCCCGGAAGGAGGAGGAGCTTGCTGAATGCCATGCTGTATCCAGGAAGGGAGTCCAGACGTGAGCCCAGGTCTGGCTGCCTCCACAACCTGCCCCACCCCAGGCGGCCTTCAGACTTCAGCTGTTAACTGGACTCAACTTCCCCTCCATTAAAGCCTTACAGTTCTGGCTAAAAAGCAGGGGCTGAGTTCATTTTCTGGGCGAGCCCATGGAAGAGGTGAGCAAGGTCGGCCAGCAGGACGCCCATGTCAGGGCACAGGCCAACACAGGGGCCCCTGCTGCCACCTCCTGCTCCCTCTTCTCCTCCTCCTCTCAGTCACTGTTGCACTGTTGCATCCAGTAAATGAATGCACACAGAAGTGTTGAAAACCTAAGGGACTCCTCCTTCTGGGGAAGGAACCAGGGTGGGGGGACGCGTGTTGGCCAGGACTTCTTGGCACATCCACGTTCTTCTAACAGACAAGGCCAGCTCAGCAGGTACCGCCTGCCTTACCCAACCTAAATGGAGAGGACAAGAGCGTGGGCCCAGGGCCAGGACCTGGGCAGAGGCCAAAGGCAAGGAGAGGGACCTGGAAACCACTTAGGGGATGCAGGAGGCCGAGCATGGGAAACGATGGGGCAGCCAATCAGTGGCTGACACCCGAGGGCCTGGGGACAGTGGCTTTCGTTATATTCTCCTGTAATACTTAATCTATGGACGCTGCACTGTTGCCATTTTCCCACAATGAGCATAGTCACTCGGTCAACACATTTTTTGAGCTCCCAATGTCCGCCGAGTCTTGGAGCATGTATCATTTTTGTAATCTCAAAGCAAACTCCAGAGGGAGGGAGAAAGACCCCAGCAGGAGGAGGCTGGATCTAGGCATCTCAGGATGCACAGCTGCTCTGCTTCTCTGCTAGGCAGCCCAAGGAGCTTCAGGACTTCCCACAAGAGCCAGTGTGGCAGGGGAGCCACACACGGACGCGAGGGTGGCCAGCACATCCTGAGCACTTTCTGGGCACAGGACAACACTTCAGCGCTTCTCATGCGTATTTCAGCCACTCCTCAGAAGACCCTTGTGAGGTAGGAACTCCTGCCATGCCTGTTTTGTAGATGAGCAACCTGAGACCTAGGGAAGATGACTTAACTAATGTCCAGCGCCTCGTTAGTGGTGTCCTCTGTGTAAGGGACCTCTCTGTCCAACACCCCTGACCTGCGGACACAAGGCCTGGGCTACACCAGTGTGTGTTGCCTCTGGGCTAAAGCATCCCTGGGCCCTTACTTCCTGGCATAGCTGGAGCCCACCATGTCTGTGCCCTGAGCTGGCCGGTAGTCTCAGGAAGTGCTAGGCAGAACAGGGCCTGGCACTCCCCTTGTCTGTTTGGGAAGGGAGAACACCAACTGCAGAGTGTAAGTGCTTAGAACTAAAACAGCCCGCTGCATTGTCAGTACACCTTCTCCCTGTGCTCTATTTAATTTTGAAACATGAGCAGGGAGTAGGTGAAACCCATCACACCCTTACATTCAGAGATCCCATCTCAAACTGCTGAACAAAA